TCCCTTTATTTTAGTATAATTCCACCAGCATCCCTTTATTTTAGTATAATTCCACCAGCATCCCTTTATTTTAGTATAATTCCAATTAAATATGTGATATTGGTTACAACAGATAGATCAATATTACAGAGGCTCGTGTATTTATTATGCTCCTGAATGCTTTATTTAGGTATTGGAGTCCACATTACGGGTTATGTAAATTGGGTGTTTTGTTCTCCAATAGGTCTTTAGGTGAAACTTAGCTGAATGGACGGTAACTGGCTGTTGTAGAAACATCGTCCTCTACACTTCTTTTTCTGCAACAGGCAGTTGCCATCCTTTAAACTAAGTTTCATCATGAATACTCTGCCTAAACAATATATCATTGATCTTTAGGTGGTTTGGTGTGTGCTAACTGTTTATGAAATATTCAGGGTATCCATTACCAAAGAGAGTTGTTCTGTTGGTTTTCTCAATTTTGTTTATTAATATTATAATTATAAACTTTAATTACCAATCTCATAGTAAATGCACGAATGCATAAGTATGGAATTAAATTCATTTTATTTTTCTGAAAATAAATAATAAAGTTTTGCGAGACAACATCAGAATATTTTCCCTTGATGAAACTATTGTTCTTAAGTAATAATTACTTTTCAGTTCTTGTTGACTAAGGGTTGAATAACGTGCTACAATAGAAGCAAACGACTCAGCACCTCAGAAAGGCAAATATTTTATTTTATTAAATTAACAATCTGTGATTTATAAGCACACCATTTGTTATTTGTTCATTTGCTATTATATTAGTATACGTAAGCAGTTTACTGCTACAGGCAAACAGTGTTAGTTATACTTCAAGATTATTAATAACTCATCATTTGGCTTACAAGATGTATTTTAACTTGTTAGTTCACCCTTTTTGTTAATAGAAAGATAAAACAGTTAAACTAATTAGCGTTGGATATATATAAGCATAACTGTACAAAATGGGTTCGCCTGTTGTTCTTTAATTAATGAAACATGTTTATTCTAGAAATATCCAGAATACACGTGCGACAAATAGATTGAGTTTGTTTATAATCCAAAGCACTAATATGTGTCAACCGTTTGTCTAACTTAAGGTCATCTCACGACAAACAAACTTTCATAAAATGGTACAGTTTGCGTGAACGAAAAAGATCCATTTTAACTCAAATACATTCATGCGTGATTGTGTTACATTTCTTTAGTTTGCAGAACCAGTCGTTATTAGGTACAGTGATGTTTAAGAATAGATTTCGGAGATTGCATTGTTACACGACTCGTAATGAGTTCTTTAGGTAGAATTATTTACTTGATAAGAGGCTACTTATGAAGTGAACGTTACGTGTACTTTCAGCTTGGTCGATTCGAAATAAGCACACCATAAAACCGAACCGAATGACGTGCATTAAGATTACAAACAGAAATTGGAACGACACAAATTACGAGTTAAATGAAATAATATAAGTATTTACAATAGTGCTGGATAATATAAATTGAATAAGCATATCAAGGATGAGTAAAGTTTAAAAAGATTAACAGAAACAACCATATTCTATACAAATACCTACTCGTCCTCTTCCCTATAACTTAGGTTTGAATAAACTATAAGGACTATCAAAGAAGACATTTTGTACCTTAAACAAAGTGTTAATCTAACTTATGTTAAATTTTCGATTTTAAAGCTAACAATAAGAACATTTTGTTAATGTAAATTTCAAGTATAACTCAATCTCACTATAATCAACATGGAAACTGTGCCAAAAACTGGTGTAGTAGTGAAATCCATAGGCATAGAAATCCATAGAAATCAAAACTTGTCCAACCCATCTTAAGATTAGTGAGAATAATATTAGTTGATAAATATTGGTGAATCAGTTTTGATAGAATACTGTGAAATGAGGCTTGCAGTTTCAGAACACTAGACACGTGGGAACGTTTATGTCCTGTATTTATTGTACTTGGTGAAATGGGTATAAGTCCAGAAATTTAACATTCAATATGTTGGATTTGAGTCCAGATGGAATAGAGAAGTGTAATAACCTCGAACAGATTAATAATTTGTTTCACAGAATTCGAATCCAAACAGACCGATAGCCATTTTATGGTTCTCGGTACTTCTTGATATATGTGTTTGTTTATTTTTCATGAAAAGTATTATTAAGACTGGAAGTCTTACTGCAAATGTTGTATTAACTTAAATGAAAATCCATTCATTTCTGTACTATTCTACTAATTCAATAAGAGTATTCAAAACTCTTTATAAAGTTTAAAACATTATTTTGCTTTGTAATAAATAAAGGGCATTTGAAGCGGTGGCGTGGAGTTACAAAGTTTTAAACCAATTACATACTTTAAAATAACAATTTTTGTTGTGCCTAATTACTAAAGTAATTAAATTCATCAATAGAAATGATGTTGTTAGGTAGTTTTTGTTGGTATATTAGTTAATAATTGTGTCCAGATATACATATATATTAGGAAAGCTAAACATTGAAAAAAGTTAATACATCAAAGGGAAGGATAGCGCGAAATTTATGTAGTATATCCAAACCTTAGGTGAAATATAATTAAGTGTAATTTTATGGAGTGAAAAAATGTGAAGCAAATAAAATAAATCGCAGTCAACAAACATCCAACACCAGGGGCACAAATCACAAGGTGGGTCACTATGTAATGTGTTCTGTTATTTTGGGGGTACTAGCGGAAGTAAGACCCAAACTGCATTGAGGGTACACCGTCTATCCAGTTTAACCTCAATTTATACGGCCTCACATGCTTAAGGAAAAAAGGAGCAGACGTGGGTGC